TAAAATTCAATTAACAATTATAATTTTTAAAAATCATTAAAATAAAATAATTCTTTCACTTAAAAAAAGTGAATTTAAAAACATGACAATTAAAATAAAATTGATATCCGTTTCCCTGTTGACCAAAATAATCTACAGGCCTCTTCAACACTCTCAGACAGAAACTTGCTCCTTCATCCCGAAAGCTCAGTAACACAAGGCCAAATCTACTAAAAACGCCGGCGTTTGTTTCTCTAAATCCCTGCTTCCTCCGGCACACGCTCGGCTTTTATCTCGGCACACGATTTAAAGAACGACTCCATTAAAAAACACTTAATAACACAAGCTAAGCACAGTTTCACAAACCCGTCCGGATCAATAAGAGGAAACGAGAGGAGGGAGAAAACGCTACACGCGGTGAATAACTTTCATTATGTGTACAAACCTAAAGAGAAGTGTTAGATCAATAATCTCAGCACGTCTCAGAGGACTCGCGCTCTCTCTCTCGCTCTTTCATAACATTTTCCTGCTCGGCGTGAGAATTCATCGGACAGGCGCGTGTCAGGACGCTTCTCGCTGCGGTTTTGTCCAGTCAAAGACTTTTAGCATGAGAAAGAAACGCTGCAGGCCCTTCTGGTCAAAGAGAAGCACGACAGAAGCCACTTCCCTCTGAATGAGTCGGACAGGCGTGTGGCGTGTGCAGCTCTACACAAACCATTATTCACAGTCCTCCTCTATTGTGCATGAACAATAGCTGCTCCGCACGGGGGACAAATTAGGACACGTGTTGAGGAAGAGCGAGTGTGTGTTACTAACTGGCTTTAGACAGACACCGTGCACTAAACAGGACCATTTCTGTGCTGTGTGTTATCTAGAACTTCTCTAACAAGGCTTGAATGCAAAAAAAAAAACAAGCATTTTCACCTGCTGGACGATGAAACAAATCCCACACACTTGCATTGAAGGAGGGACCAGAGTCATTATCTAGAGACCTGATCATCTTTTCATGCAAGATGGGAAGAAACCCCTAAAAAAAAAAAAAAAAAAAAAAAACTAAAGTCACCATTCTCTGCCATTTTTGTGTTAAGTAATAAGCCTTTAGAACAACATTAAGGTGAGTAGTCACTTCCCCTCTTTCTACAACAAATCATTAATGTTTAAAAAAAAAAATACATTTATAAAAAAAAAGTAGAAATTAATCTTTGCAGTACGAAATTTTCTTTTTCATATTTTTTATAAAAAAAAGAAATAAAATAAATAAAAATTAAATAAGCATTTTTTTTTAAACTATGCATACTGTACAATTGAAACACGGTTAACACTTTACAATAAGGTTTTGTTTGTATCTTTAGTTAACATGACCTAAAAATGAACATGAAAATATTTCTACAGCATTTATTAATATTAGTTAATGCTTAACTATTTCTTTTTATTTTTTTAATGCAGGAATTGCTAAAAATATTCTGAATCTACATGGAAATGGCTGTTTGGCCAAATAATAGTTCCTCTGATTTGATAAGATAAAATAAAAAAAAAACTAAACTATTATTTAGTTTAAGTTAACTCTCATAATCTTGTACTGCAGTTATATCTGATCAAATGCACATTATTATTTTTAGTTTTAAAGTAGTTGGAGCATTTTTAATTACTCGTACTCGCGTCTCGCCTCCCTCGTTCGATTTGAAGCAGCGCTGCGCAGGATGAGTGTATGACATCAACCGCGAAAGCATAAGGATCCGTCTGCTCTCTTATCGCTCTCGCGGTACTTGGTCATACACTA